TCCAGGTTTGTTGGAGGAACCGGATATGGTCGAAAAATTCTAAACTTTGAATGATAATTCAACCTCGGAGTCCGAGGTTCAAGTAAAAACTAAGCCAAATCGGAAAGAATAAATATAAACAAAGCCTTTTGTTTTTGGGGTCGAAAAACAAAACCTGTATTTTACTTCTTTTGACTAAAGAAACAAATGGTACAAAACTGAACAAAGTGTATGTAATAGACGGAATTGATCGGCCCCGAGGTCAATACCCCCCTTTTAACAATTCGGAGCATAAATCCCTCAACGTTGCCTAAAAGGAGTAGAGAAGTGTAGTTACTAGGCAAAGGTAGTAGATATTATGCATAAAGTGGGAGGGTTTAGAATTATATCATAACATCAATTTCCTAAATACAAAAACAAAGTCCCGGAGACATATTTCAACTCCGGTATCTGGCCGATACATCTCGCAGGCGAAACAAGAATCGCAAGTATTTTCTTGGGAGGTACCAAGAGCTTTTGAAGGCAAGAACTTTGATTAGTAACAGAACAAAAAAAAAAAAAAAGTCAAGAGACAAAAAGACTCTTGGGTCTGCTTCTTCTAATCCTCGAGCTCGATGATTTTGACAACGGACGAGTCACCCACTTTCTGGCAGACCACAACTCTGTCATGTGACTTGATCACTCCAGCCTGTTTACCATGGTCTAGAGCCACTTTCAGGACCGATTCATTTGTTGCGCTTGTTGATTCCGCCTGACCACAGATTTAAAATACTGTTTCAAACCCAGCCAATGTTGCAATGCAACCGTAACACCAAATTTGCAAATTCTTTTATATTAAGTGTGATATAGAAGGATGAAATGCGATAGACTTACAGGATGACGAGGGTCAGCGAGCATGGGGAAGAGACCTCTAACAATCAGCGACTGCCTAGCCTGAGACCACGATATACACAAACATGTTGTTACCTTTGGACAAAAGCAAGATAAAAATTCATAAAGGAAATTCATATATGCCAACGTTAAAATGGTTTATGGTCTCCTTGTGGAATTTTTTTAGATCTTGAATCCATTAGATACATGATCACATGACTTTTTTTCTGGAATATTCAAATATTAATACAGCACATGTCATAGTTACTAGTCTTCTTAAACATGTCGTCAAATGATGACGATGAGCAAGTAACAACCGTATATCATGTATCTTGAAAATCAGCAAATGCCATAAGAAAAACCCAATTTCAATTATGAAAATAATTTTCAATATTCAACACAAACAGAATCAAAATTTACCTCAAAGGCTCCGCTAAAGCTCCACTTCATCTGATTTGTAGTAAGCCGGGGAATGACAACAGAGAGAACCGGCATAGTTGGCCGGTATTTGGCAATCAACCTTCATAGAGATGGAAGAAACATTCAGTAGACAGCTACACAGAATTCAAATGAAGGAACAGTTTAAGCTGGAAGGAATGGCGTAAACCTTGCTGCTCGTCCAGAAGAGGTGAAGCATATGATTACGGATGCCTTAACCTTGATGGCTGCCCGTACCTGATATCAAGCAGATGTTTAAGGATTTCAAGTCAGATATGGAGACGGAAATTTTCAACTTAAAAGGCAAATTCTCAGCCTTTTATATAACGCAAGTAGCACAGAAGAGAGACTTACAGCAGAGGAAGCAATAGATTCCAAGTGAGACATTGGTTCTCCAACATACTTGACTGTCTTCTTAAAGAACAAATCTTGGTTGAATACCTTCTCTGCCTATAAATAAATACAGAAATGTGTAAGATCCAAAGAGGAAATCAGATGACAAACCATGGCTAAGATGCTTGAGATATTAAGAAGGCGACAGAAATAGTGCTTAATAACTATAAGATAAAGCCTACCTCAGCACAGATTCTACCAACAGTTGATATTGTTTCGACAGGGTACAATCCACGAAGGGTCTCAGCACCAAGAAGAATTGCATCACTTCCTGCGAAAAGTAAAAGGGAAGAAACCCTCTTCAAGTTATGACCAAAACTATGACACAGAAATATGTATTCCCTCCTATAAAATCTTAGCAGCACGAAATACATATTTCAGAGACTAAGCATACCATCTAAAACAGCATTAGCAACATCAGTTGCCTCTGCACGAGTTGGCCGCAGATTGTCTGTCATACTGTCTACAACACGGGTGAGAACAGCTGGCTTTCCAGCCATGTTACACTTGTAAAGAGCAGCCTTTTGGAACAAAAACACCTACAAGTTTAGGGTCAAGTTAGCACTTCGCTCCTGAAGATAGCATATTACTAATAAGTAATAACTAATAAGAGTATAAGACACCCCATCAATCTGACCCAAACAAATTGATTTGAGTGACCGACATCATACCTTTTCCGGAGGTAGATCAATACCCAAATTACCACGAGAAAGAATAATGCCATCAGCTTCTTGTAGAATTTCATCGAAGTGGGTCAGTCCCTAAAATCAGATGTAAATATATAAATATAATCAGCCTCATTCCCATTGCCAATGAATAAGTAGTTACATAGAGAAAAATGTAAAGCAAAAACAAATGCATTTCACTTACTTCTTCATTCTCAATCTTTGCAAATATTTGTGTTTGAGAGAGGTCACCCAACTTTTTAAGTAACTCGCGAGCCTGTGTAGTGTATAACAAAAATTATCATTCAAGCATATTAGAAGCATAATTAGTAGCGAGTAAAAAAGGAGTCACACTTGAAAGTTGATTTCAAAAACCATTATGAAAAAGAATATGGACCTGGCGAACATCTTCTGCATGTCGACAATAAGATAATGAGAGAAAATCGATCTTATTCTGAACTCCCCATGTGCTTATAACCTAGAAGGGAACCAAATTAGAAAAAAGTAGTTAAAGCACTCTAACAGAAACGTCAGATTACTAGGAGTGACGGGGCAAAGTGGTCATTGAGATTTGTAGATTAGAAGCAGCACTAACCTCCTTATCCTTCTCAGTAAGTGTTGGCATATCAATGTAAACTTGAGAGGCATGCAACGTGAACAACGGACCAGCCAGAGTAGCAGCATTCCTTGACACACAAATGACATCATCACCCTTAACTTCATCAACCTGAAGGTTTGTTTAAACTGGTTGGTCTTCTCACAGCACAAACATCTAAAAAGTCTAAAATCTAATCACAGAGAACCCCGTAGAATTCCATAAGCAAGCTTAATTATACCTCAAGCCAAACTGAAGTTGTTTCACTACCAGTGAAGAGGTATTGTCCAACAAAGATAGTGTCTCCTTTCTTAACTGACTGTAAGACATAAAAAAAAAAATTAACATTCATCACAACCCCTATAGACAAAAGCCAATTATCATTTCCTCCAAAAACTATACTGTAAGGGTCTTATCGAACCTTTGCTAGCCCATCAAAATTAATCGGAAAGACTTCAGAGGAGGCTTCTTGAACTTGACACGGAGTCAAAGTTACAAGGCCATCAGCTTTAAGAGAAATAGCTTTCTCACTCTTGTTAATAACTTGCAACTCAGGTCCTACAGTGTCTAGCATAACCTGGAGCAGCCAGAAACCATCTAAGTTTATATCATTTACGCATTACCGAATAAGCTCGTTGCCAAATCAAAAGATCCAGCAGAGCATTAAAATCAGATAAGAGAAACATACAGCACAAAGCTTCTTAGTGCTCTTCACAGCACTCTTCAGATTCTCCAGCGTCTCCTGGTGATACTCTGCATCGCACCAAGAGAAATCGAATCGAGCCACTGCACAAAGAATAATCAAAGTGAGAGAAGCCCAAACAGTAAGACTGGAGAAGGGGAAAGAAAAATCACAAAAGAGAAGTAATCGGAATTACCAGACATTCCAGCTTTAAGACAACCGGAAATCACCTCGACGGATCGAGATTTCGGACCTAGAGTCCCCACAATCTTAGTCAATGCCGGGAAGAAACTCTGCGAGAATACATCAAACGGGATCAAAAACCTCGAAAACGAAACAAATCCGGTAGAAGCAACAGCTTGAAATGGGTAAAATATCGCAACAGATCCACACGAAACCGAAAATCAACGAATTTCTAGGAAATCGAACCATCAACCAAAGCTC